AACTCTATTCTTCGTAACAATTGGGGTATAAGCTAACTAATTTTTGTTGTACATAACTCCTTGATCCTTGATTGGGTGTTGTATTGAACGTTTTCTTGGATAATAAAATTTACTTATCCAAAAAAAAGATGCAATTCTCTTTATCCGAATCTATACTACGCTAAATAATTGTTTTTATCTTATATTACCTTGTCAAAGTTGAAATTTATCTCTAATTGCATCACATTATAATTATAGAAAATGTGAACCCTCATCCATTTATCATTTATTTTTACCTTTTTGCTTTGAGTTATCTATATTAATTTAAATATTCATTAGTTAAAAAAATGAAAAACAAAGTAGATATGAATAAACAGGTTTAGGCCTAGCAAGATCCCCTTGAAATCAAATAATTAGCAAGCAAAGACAAAGAAAAAGAGTTGGATATGTCTTACCAGAAAAAAACAGACCAAAGGTTAAGTTAAAAAGGCTGTTTCACCGGCCACCTAAACCCAACAATCCCCGAAAACCAATTGCTTCGGCTTTGGCCCTGGCCCCTTTACAAACAAAAAAGTTTATTCCCTGGCGTGCATAAAAATAGCCTTATTCTGCCATCTTCCTCCAGGCATCTGGGTCCTCTTTTATAACCTCATCTCTACGTCCTCTCTCGATCTTCAAACCTCTTCACACCCTGGTGGGGTTGGGGGAGGGGCTCAAATGGAGAAGTTCCAGAAAATGGCTTCAGGTCACAACCATTTCTCGGCTTTCTCAACCATCCATTTCTCTACAGTGACGTTTGGTGAGACCAGATTACCCTTCCATTCATACTTCCCTCTGTAATCTCAAAGCTCATATACTTGGACAAGGCTGCAACTTAATGTACAACTCTTTTCTCTCTTTTCTTGTCTATCTCACTACACTTTTAAAACAGCATTGCTTCATAGAATTAGATAAAGGAATTAGGCAGACAGGATGAACCCAGGCAATTGTGCAGAAGTAACGGTTTTCAGTGCTTAGTTTTAGATTGTTCTCATCATATTGTATGCTTCCTTTTGGTTGAATGATCTTTGTTATGTAGTCCTCTAGTTTCCAAGAAAAAGGAAAAGCAGCAGACGACCCTTTTAAGCCCGTATGAAGAAGAAATCATCTTTTCTCTTGCTATTATTATACGCGAGGACGTACGATGGTGATCCATGGTGATGTTGCATTTTTTTCTTCCCAGTTTTCAATAGATTGCATTTATTCTCCATACATATAATGAAATGAAAGACTCTTCCTCTAAATCTTTCTGTCTGTTTTTTCTTAAATTATTTTCGCTTCATTCTTCTGATTATACTGATTTTCTCTAGGTTATTTCCATGATTAATTGCCCATCTTTCTTTGCGTAGCTTTGCTTGTTCCTCTTCTGTTGGTACTTCGAACGCAATAATTTGATAATCACGTTCAACCTTCAAATTTCAGAGTTAGTGAAAACACTTTGAAACTCAAAATTTTCTGCTGTCCTTGGATGCTGAATGTTTCCATGGATATGTTTAATTTATGCGTATTTTAATACTTGATAGTATAAAACTTGGTTCTCTGTGCAAACAGGGATAAACTAATACTATATTAGTATAGTAAAAAAGTAATAATGTGGAACGAGCAAAGTCAAAAAAAGGCGGAAATATTAGAGTCTGCATGAACGGTGAGGCCAAGGCATTAAGTTATGTATCGAGAACAGGATAAATTCATCACTTATTTAAAAACTATTCATATTGTGGAAGTAATAGTTGCACCACGGTCTTTTAAGTGGAAATGTTGAAGATGCACTGTCCCTGAAAATAAATAGAGTAGTCAAGATTAGGAGTGTTAGTTGAATTGAGTAGTTTGGAACGGTTTGAGTTTGATTTAATTAAAATTTGGTTAATGTTTAATTCAAATTGATTCGATTTAAAATTGAATTCGACTTAAAACCTTAACAATTTGAGTTAAATAAAATCCAACTTAATTCAATAAATTCATGGATAACTTGTTAATTTTTTAATAAATTTTTAAGATGTTATTTGCCTTATTTTAAAGATTGATTATATATTGTTATTTATTTTTCAAAATGATTGTAATATGTTAGTTTGGGGTGTTTGTGAATTGTTACTTTAATTATAACACGTTAGTTTGGTATATTTGTGAATTGTTATTTTGATTATAATACGTTCGTTTGGTGTATATGTACATTGTTACTTTGGAATTTAGATATTGGAAATGCTTCACACGCTATTTTTTATCATTTTTTTTGTTAAATTTGTTAATTTATGTTTATTTTAAACTTTATATAGTATATCTTAAACAAGGTAGCACGGATCAAATAACTTTTGTGATAAATGAATTATTGTTATTCCTTGAAGTCTCGAGTTCAAGTACTATAAATACCAGGGATGTGATCGTTCATTGTCAAATAACTGAAAGATACATTTTTAACAGCAATGAATATAGTCAAGCAATAAGCTTTTTAACGAGTACAAAATCGAATAAAACTTTTCTAAATTTATCGAATATCAAATCAAATTAAACACAAATCAGATAGTTTTTCATTTGAATCGAACGTCGCTCATCTCATAATCAACTCACCAACAAGCACCCTTAATCAAAACTTGAGTTCTACAAGTTCATAGTTTTCATCCACAAATTTTACATGATGAATTTCCCAAACCCACTATCGTCCAACAACTTGAAGGCATAAAAATCTTCTAGGGTTGTAAGCACCCACTATAGGCCCAAAGTTATTAAATTTAATTCATCACTTTCCTATTTCCCTTTCTTAGAGGGCAGCTAGAAAACCAATGAAATGAGATCATACACACATGATTAATAACCTTAATCATGAGTTATTCTTCCTAAGCATTTAATAGACTAATTATATGAGGTTTGACGTCTCACGTGTCATCCATAATTCAGACCATTATCTTCTACCAATAGACTAATTAAACAAAATCAAAAGTTAGTCTTAATGCTAACGAATAATTAGTAATCCATTATTGACTTCAATTTTGAGTACGCACGTGGCCAAACTCCCTTTTAGTTCTTCAATTCCATTTATCTTTTATCTTTTCTTTTTAAATAATTAAGTAGAGATATTATATGAAAAATATATTGTTACAAAAAGAAAGACGTTAATAGTAATTATAATAAATAAAATATGAAAAATAGACCAAGTCAATACAAAATATTAATGCGAACAATTATCTGAAAAAATGCACTCAATAAATATTACAGATATATATTAATACGAACACAAATTAAGTAAGTTAATATCAATATATGTATATGTATTTTGTCTTTTATTATTCAAAAATAAATTTAAAAGATTAAAAAAAGAGCGATTGAACAAGGAGTGGAATAAAATATAATTTAATTTTAATGCCTATAAGTTCCTAAACTGTTAAAATGATATCAAGTATTTCATAATATTGTGAATTTTCTAAATTGTTAAAGGTAAGCAACTCGAACTCGAACAGATAAAGATGGAGAATTAAGAAAAAGAAAAGCCAAAGGTAAGATACAAGATAATATTTTTATTGAAATTTAACTATAAACTATATATACATATTAATATAAAAATACTATTTGGTGTTACCTTGTTAAGTATAGATTTTCAATGATCAAATCATCATCTATTATCAATTGATTTAAATTTGAGAATGATCATGACTTGAACTTTAAAAGTGATGCAAAGATGATTGTTCAATTTTAAATCAAATGAGTTCATGGAATTGAAGTTAAGCAGAAGTAAGTTTGTTACAACAAAGAGTGTTGGGTATTGGATAAAATCTGTCAAAACAAATATTCTTAGCAATCGAATAATAGACGATAGCTTAGAGTGCGATTTCTATATGAAAAAAATACGTGCAAAAACTTTGTTCGAAAGAAGGCTGAGGTACAGTTAATAAAAACAGATAAGACAATATCATAAACTTTTGGGTAATATAGCAAAAGTCCCCTCGTCGGAAGATGCTTTTTATTAAGTAATATACATATACTGCCATTCGAATCCATAACCTTTAGAGAGAACAACATTATCTTTCATTACTGAGGTGGTTTAATGGATTCTTTGTTAAACTACGTCGTTAAAAATAAATAGAACTGTTGAAATGATGATGTAGTATTACCTTAAGATCGGTTCCACATCATATCACCGTTAATTTTTTTAACGAGTGATCAAAACGAAACCAAAACATAACGATAGGTATGATTTTGTAAAAATATATAGTTGGATGACCAAAATGAAACTGGGAAAATTAGGCGAGTGACTAAATACATAGTTTATCCTACTTTTTAAGTTGAGTGATCATTTTATAACTTTTCATAGTATGGAGACTCAATAGAAATGTACCCTATAGTCGGAGGACTATTTACATATTTACGCTTTAAAACAATAAAATAGACTTTTGAACCAAATTCCTGGCCTGGGTGGCGATACGAGAGCTGTTGGCAGTAGAACTGGATATTGGAAATACGAAAGAGAGTATAGAGCTACAGAAGAATGATTCGAGAGTTGAGATTACCTATCGGAAAAGGAGGATAATTAGTAAGAATATGACAAGAAAATGATAAGGGAGTTAAACTCTACCTACTGAAAGAGAAGAATATTGGTAAAGATTATGACAAATCACTGAATACTCGAGAGCTTGCTTTCTCAATGGAAGATGCCATATTTTCACCGTTTAATGTTAGATGGAAGGTCTTTTTCACAAGGCAACAATGATGTTACCAAGAAAAATCCTAAAATTATGGGACAATCCAACCGGAACTTCGGATGATAAAGATAAGGTAAGCGGTCTGCTTTTTCAGATAGATTTTAGGTCTTGGGAAGCTATCAGATTTTATTGCTTTGCCAACCTCACTGGTACTTGTAAGTTGAGCAACAAATTCATAGACTCAAAATGATGATCAAAGAACCCCCTAGACACAATTGCAGAAAACAACTTTCCTTGTTAAGCAAAAGACCTCCAGGAAGATACTCTATTGAATCAAAACAAATTACTTCCATTTTTGCTATACAGTAGAACACAATTTAGACATATACATATGTGGCTTATGGAAACATGGAGTGTTTATCATTAGAAGTAGAGCTATAAGTACAAAACAAACACTTTCAGTACTAATATCACAGTAAAGCACAAGTGGCCAGGAACTTACAATTTTGCCTTTTCATCCCAGGAATAAGAAGAAGAAAAAACTTTGATGGCTATAATATTCATATAGTGAACAACAGATCATCATTTTCACTCAGTAGCTACATTCTCACCATCATTTCCCCCAGTTCTGGTGCCTGGCAAAGTCCTAAAATTGTCACTTGCATTGTTGTTCTTGTGGGTCTGTGAAGCATTATTGTTCTCATTCTCATCTGAATTCCCATTGTTGTTGGTGGCGCTTTGAGCAGAATTGTTGTTTTCATTCTGACCTGCATTGTCATTATCGTAGGTCCATGCCCTATTACTCTCATCCTGACTCGCGGTTTCCTGTTTGTCTGTGTTTTTCTGAATAGCATCATTGTTATTCTGGTTTGCATTTTCACTGGTGGTGTTGTCGTCGTTGTTTAAGTTCTGGGAAGCATTATTCCTATTCTGGCCCGCATTTTCTTTGTCGATAATGCTCTGAGAAGCATTGTTCTCATTAAGACTTGCATTCTCGCTATTGTTGTAGTTCTGGGAAGCATTGTTTTCATCCATACCTGCATGCTCTTTGTTGGTGTTGATTTGAACAGCACTGTTCTCATTCTGACTTGCATGCTCACTGTTATTGCTGTTGTAGTTCTGGGAAGCATTATTCTCATTCTGACCTGCATTTTCTTTGTTGGTAATGCTCTTAGCAACATTGTTCTCATTCTCACTTGCATTCTCGTTGTTGTTGGTTTGAATCTGAACAGCATCATTGTTCTCAATCTGACTTGTATTCTCATTGTTGTTGGTATTGATCTGAACAGCAGCGTTGTTCTCATTCTGACTTGTATTCTCATTGTTGCTGTTGTTGCTCTGGGAAGCATTATTCTCATTCTGACCAGCATTCCGTTTGTCGTCAACGCTCTGAGCAGCATTGTTCTCATTTTGCCCAGCATTGTTCTCATTTTGCCTAGCATTCTCATTGTTGTTGTTATTGCTCAGAACAGTATCATTGTTCTCATTCTGACTTGCTTTCTCATTGTTGCTCTGGGAAGCATTATTCTCATTCTGACCTGTATTCTTCTCGTTGTTCAAAGCAGCATTTTCATTTAAATTTGAATTGTTGTTGTCCTTTTCAGTAACATCTTCATTTGCATTTGCAATGTCGTTAGTGTTGCTCTGATTGTCAGTTCTGCTGTCTCTCCCATTTACATTTGTGTCATTGTTGGTATCGCCACCACTCTCATTCTCATTCTGACCTGCACCAGCATTATCATTAGTGTTTGAGGACAATGTCTTCTCTTCGGCAATTGAAGAATCAGAAGAACGAACATTTTCATTCTGGCCAGCATTTGAATTATCAATTGTGTTAAAGAAAAGAAGTTTTTCCCGTGTACCCTCTACTCCAGAATTATTGCTGGATTCGTCAGTCTGAACTGTGTCATTTTGGCTTGTAACTGAAGATGAAGAATTGCTGTCGAACCCTGTACGTGCATCAGAGATCTCAATCTGCCCATTTGATTCAACAGATTCAGAGTTACTGGTAGAGCTTGCAGAACCTCCATTAGCTCCATTCACGTGCTCAGTCAAAGTAGCAATTGCATTTAAATTAAATCGCTCGCCATTGCCAACATAGGCGGATTTGTCCGGTTGCTGATCATTTTCATTCTGAGTTGAATCGGATGATGCCTCTGTACCATTCAGGTGCTCATTTGATTTTGTATCTGTCACTGAAGCCTCAGTGCTCTCATTACCACTCTCTTGATTGTTTTCAGTCGTTTCATTCTCCTGCACATTCAACTCTTTATGATGAACATTGGCTGCTCCACTGCTATTCAATCCTTTCTCCCAGTCAAACGCATTTTTACCGTTGTTTTTTAATTGCTCCGACTCATTGGAATTTTCTGTACCGCCTGTCTCATTCTCAAGTGATGCATGTTGGGTATGATTGGCTACCTCGCTTGAAGCATCATCCCCCTTGTAAAGTTCTTCCCTTGCTTCTTTATTGCTCCTTTCAACTCCATCATGGACCCCATCATCTGATGTACCTAAATTTTCTATGTCACCTCCGCTCTTCTCAGTCTCTTTCTTGCCGCTTTCCGTTGCGTTACTCTCTTCTCCAATATGTTTATTTTCCTTCTCTCGACTCTCCTCGGTGTTTTCTTTATCCTCAACTGCCTTATTTTCCCCTTCCTCTCCATTGACTTCACTCGCCTTGTTTTCACTGTCCTCTTTACTCTCTTCCAACCCCTTATCTTCACTAACATTCTCATTAGTCCTTTCACTCTCCAGGTCTCCGCTTTCCTTCTCTTCAACCTCAGTGTTCCGAATTTCTTCATTTTCCTTCTCTCCATCTGTAGTATTTTCTGTGTGTTCGGTTTCCTCTTCCGCTTTCACATCATCGTGCTCACCCATCACATCATCATCTCCATTCCCTCTTCCTTCAGTTTCAGTTTCCTCAAGCTTGTTACCTTCTTCTCCAATCTTGCTTCCTTCCTCGTCTTCTTCCTTGACCCTCACATCCTTAATAATCGTTTTCTCTGCTTGAGGAAGGTCCTTTCTCCCCAACTTTATGACTTGGTTCGCCGATTTCTCATACTCGGCTTTCTTCTCACTCGAGTGCCTAACTTGGTAAAGCAGCCAAATGCAAATAGCAGTCAGAAGACATATTTGTAGAGCATGTTTCAACTTCAACCCTTCGGATCTTTGATTCCTATAAGGTGAACCCCTGAACATGGTGCACTTTCTTCAACAAAACCTGCTCGAATAACACCACATGACATCGAATTTCTTTTACATCAACGATAACATTGTAGCAAAGAACTAATAGGTTAACACGACAGGAAGAAAACGAAAACTCAAGCAGACAATGTTTCTATTATAAAAATGCAAGACATGCAAAGCAAATCCAGATCATCCCATGAACTAAAGCTCAAATGGTAATTTACTATGAACATAAATATATCAAATTCAAATTCCCATAAGAGAATATGGTCGAACACGGTAATAGTAACAATTACAACTGACCCAATCCAAAGAAAAAAGACAATAAATAAAGAATGAACAAGACGAAGGTTGACAAAATTCGGAAAATAAATCAATGGCAGACCATTCAAACAAGAGGAATCCAACGCTCTTACAGCTTTAACCAAGACATAAACTTTAACTCTTATGTCTTTTCAATGTTTAAAAAGGACATAAAAATAAGTTAAGAAGAAGTTTTATGAAAGAGATAACAAAGGATCAAAATTATATTTAAAAAAACTAAAACAAATCAACCACTTGAATTTTAAAAGTAAATCCAGTTTTAACAATCGAAAATTAAATTAAAAAAGCTCGGATAGAAGACTTACCTCGAATCCAAAATGATCAGGAAGAAACGAAACACAAAAGCTTTTTGTTTTCTAAGTGAAAAATCCGAAAATAGTTATATTTCCAGGAATTCGGACGAAATGCTAAAAGAAGGAAGAGAAGAAAACTCGATTCCAAGATTGTATAAGCTATGGGATGAGATTGGATCTCGAAATGGAAAATCAGAGAGTTTGGAAGACATAAATGGTGCATTCGTCCCTGCTCCTTAAAACGGCATTCCATCGATCACTGCAAATCTAAAAAATCTCCTGCATTCTCACTCTCTCTCTTTGTCTTCACACTCTTAATGGCGCGTGTAATTACATTATATGTGTACTACGCCGTTTTTAGTTAAATCGGGTTGTAAGATTTTATTCTTATTTTGATCCCTCTACTATACTTAAGATTGTGACTTAGTCTATATATTTTAATTTAGAGTAATTTGATCTCATACTTCTATAATGTTTTATTAGTCAATGTTAAAATTTAACATTAATTTTCATATACCTCAAAATTCGTTAAAATAATTTTATATAAAAAGTGTCTTATTAGTTGTATATGACTTATTACTTTCTAGATAAAATTAACTTTGATTTTGAGCTATGTATGTATCTTGAGTGAGCTTTAATCATAAAAATTACTTGACGGAACTAATAAAAGAATTAATTTATTAATAATAAAATTTGATAATATAATATAATAAAACAGGTTTATCATCTACATAGAAAGTCAAGTATAAATTAAGTGACTTAGACTATAAATTACTTTTATGATAAACTAAACAAATGATCCCGACTATAAGGTGTTGCTTTGTTGAGTCCTCAGACTATTAAAAGTTATAAATGGTCCCTCAACTTTGGGATTTTACTTTGTTGAGTCCCTTGACTATTAAAAGTTACAAAATGGTCACCTGAGTATTCATATGTTCCAAACTTGTCTTTTCCCGTTAAAAAATGATAGTCGTATGAGCTGGACATTAATTTATTGATTAAGATATGATAAAATCTTATTTTAATAATGTCTACTAGCATTGTCGTTGCTTTTCAAGCACTAATTTGACGGTATAATCTCTAGAGCACTGACTCGACGATATAATATTTGAAGCACTGGTTCGATAATATAATGTAAATAGAGAGTTGATCCATAAAATACAACGCAAACTATTATGAGATCAAATTTTTTCATATTTCATTTTACAAGTTAATATCCAACTCAGATGACTACTAATTTTTTAACAGAAAATAACGAGTTTGGAACATATGAATAATTGAGTGACAATTTTGAAACTTTTAATAGTCGAAAGACTTAACAACGCAACATCATATAATCTAGAGACCATTTTATAATTTTTAATAATCGAGAGACTAAAGCAATACCTTATAATCGGATGATCGTTTGTATACTTTACCTTTATTTTTTATTGCAATTTGAATATTAATTGATTTGTCTTGAACAATTCCTATTAAGGGAATGGAAAGGAAATTTTATACCTATGAGTAATGAATCCACCACTTAAGGGAGAGGTCAGATGTACACTAAAAACTTTTAATTATCTGCTTTAGAAATTATTGATATATTACTAGTTTTTCTAAAAGAAAATTTATACAAGTGAAAACGATGTTTAAAAAATAGTAACTTAATTGAAATAGTCAACTACCAATGATATTATAAAATGTTAAAAAATCAAAATAATAATTATTATAAATAAACAAAAATAAATTTAGATTAAATTAGATTGACTAAAATTTTAAAATTTTGAATTATAAAATACTCATTAAATGTTTCAAAGATAAGAAAAATATTGTTCATTTTAAATGATTCAAATTTAAATAATCATGTTTATAAAACGTACATATATTATCAATAATTAATAAAATTTTTAAATAAAGATTATTTTATAATTATTATAGAATTTTCAAATATATATATATATATATATTCACTCGGTTTCTTACTCATCCAAAATCATATTTAACCTAATTAATTATAAAAGTTTTAAAAGGTTGTAATTAATTAATTTATTTACCTAAGCGGCAGGTATGGAACCACGTGTTAGCATTGGAAAACAAAAGGTGGCGGTCGTATATTTATCAAAACCCTTTCTTCACCCGCGTCTCTCTTATAGTTATGCTTTGCTTTCCTGCAACGCAGGAAAAAATTATAGACAAAAAGGGGAAAAAAGAAGTTCCAAGAGAAAAGGAGAAATGGCCTCGCTGCTTCTTCGTCAAACCCTAACCAAGACCAAGCCAACCGCCATTATCCGCCGCTTCTCCACTGCGGCTGCCGTCGCTTCTCCTACAGAATACGAGGAACCAACAGGAATCACCATGAAAGGTGTGAAAATATCGGGCCGTCCGCTTTACCTCGACACGCAAGCTACTACACCCGTGGACCCTAGGGTTTTAGATTCCATGCTACCGTTTTATCTCTCCCGTTATGGGAATCCTCACTCCCGCACTCATCTCTACGGTTGGGAATCTGAAACCGCCGTTGAAACAGCCCGAGCACAAGTCGCAGCGCTTATCGGAGCTTCCCCTAAAGAAATCGTCTTCACCTCTGGCGCCACCGAATCGAACAACATCTCAATCAAAGGCGTTATGCATTTTTATAAAGAAAAGAAGCGCCACGTCATCACGACTCAAACGGAGCACAAATGCGTTTTGGATTCTTGCCGGCATCTTCAACAGGAAGGTTTCGAGGTAACTTATTTACCTGTTGGGTCTGATGGGCTTATTGATTTGGATAGATTAAGAAAAGAAATCCGGCCGGATACTGGTTTAGTTTCTATTATGGCTGTTAATAATGAAATTGGTGTGGTTCAACCTGTTGAAGAAATTGGTAAAATTTGTAAAGAATTTAATGTCCCTTTTCATACTGATGCTGCACAAGCTTTAGGGAAGATTAAGGTTGATGTAGAGAAATGTAATGCTAGTTTGATGAGTTTAAGTGGTCATAAGATTTATGGTCCTAAAGGAGTTGGGGCATTGTATATGAGAAGGAGGCCACGGGTAAGAGTTGAGCCGCAAATGAATGGAGGTGGGCAAGAGAGAGGGATAAGGAGTGGGACTGTGCCTACTCCGCTTGTGGTCGGGATGGGAGCCGCATGTGAGTTGGCAATGAAGGAAATGGAGTATGATGAGAAGAGGATCAAAAGTTTGCAGGAGAGGTTGTTGAATGGGATTAGGGAGAAGATTGATGGGGTGGTGGTGAATGGGAGTATGGATAGGAGGTATGTTGGGAACTTGAACTTGTCGTTTGCATATGTTGAAGGGGAGAGTTTGTTGATGGGGTTGAAAGAAGTGGCAGTGTCTAGTGGGAGTGCTTGTACCAGCGCAAGTTTGGAGCCTTCTTATGTGTTGAGAGCATTGGGTGTGGATGAGGATATGGCACATACTTCAATTAGGTTCGGGATTGGGAGGTTTACTACTGAGGAGGAGATAGATAAGGCAGTTGAGCTTACTGTGAAACAGGTTGAGAAATTAAGGGAAATGAGCCCACTTTATGAGATGGTGAAGGAAGGTATTGATATTAAGCAGATTCAATGGGCGCAGCATTAATCAAGCTTTAAATATAGGTGAGTTTGTTTTGGATATGAATTGCATGTCGAATGATTATACATAACTAGAATTGTATTGTTATATTCTGGTTTACTTCTCTTGTCCATGTACATGCCTCGAGTGCTTCCGTAGTTAATTTACATGATAAGAGAGTAAATCTTGCACTTCCTCTTCAAAATAGGGGGAACCTGTTTTGATAATAGAAACAATAAGACATGTTCCTGCTTTAGCAGAAAAGTTGTTTAATATGTTCTGTAACTCACTCGGTGCTGGGTGCCAAATAATAACAACTATTAGCTAGTTTTATGCCGTTTTTATGTGATGAGTGATGAATTTGGGTGATCTATTCGTGGTAGTCATTACTTCATTACTTTTAATAATACTTCCATCTCTGCTACCAATGAAATGATTGTGAAGTCTCAAATCACATCAAGCATTGGAAAGTACCTCATCAGTCTACATTGGATTGATTCAATCTACCTTTCACAAAAGTGTCTACTTTTAATGAAGAGATCGAAAAGGTTTTCTATGTTTAACACCTTTCCCTTTTCCTCCAAGCTGATGAGTTGCTTTCGCAACTGATGCATGTCGCCTCTTGTTAACCGTGTTTTTGGCAGTTTTCTTGGTTTAAATTGTGAAGTAGGATGAGATTCTTGTAATTACAGTGTCCTCAAATCCTCGTTGCTGATGAAGTCTAATACTGACCTCTAGGATGAAGAAAAGTTATTAGATTGCATCTTGATGGCCGTTCTTTCAGTGACTGTTATTTAAATTGCCGAGTATAACATGGAGGATACTTCCCCCGTGCAACCTGCCTCCTCAAGTGTTGGGAGGCTGCAAATGACCCGTAGTCTTAGGGCTCTCAAATCTCCAGAGTTTGGCTTGTTGGAATTGAGAAACGTGACTTCTCCTTCCATTGTGCAGTAGTGTTCATGTTTGCTTACAGGTTACAGCCAATGGATAAATTTGCAGAAACTATATGTTATGCAGGCATGCGTGTCTCAAGATGGGCAAAGGTTTGAACCTTTTGTTTTAAGCTCGCAACATGCAAAACATCATAAATTCGAGACAAAAATAGGAAGGATATCAAACATCATTTGATCCGAGCATGGATTCTTGCTCTTAATTCTGTTAAATATTCGTGATTGGGACCAACTTATAGAATCTAATCTGCAAGTAATCTTTCTCAAAGTCAAATTATTTTAAGAAGAAAAGAATCCAATCCACTCGAAATTGCCCTAACGAACCCAAGTATCCAATCTGTTTACGGGTGGCGCCCATTCAAATCAACTGGTACTCGTAGGGGTGACTCGTGCCCTTGCTGCTGTCTCTGTATATCGAAAGTACAGTATATTCTGTCCATAAGGGGGATAGAGAAATTTCAATGCCTGCAAAAACTGGGAATCAGAATCCTTTTGGCTGCTGTGGGGCCTTAAAGTGGTCTGTCTTCACAGATTTAGGACATAGCCCCTCCCCCACGTGACTGTTCTGTTGCGCCCAAATGCGCCTTTCATATTCTTTCCACTTACCAATGAATTTGTTGGATAACTCGATTAATGTTGCGGTCGGTAATAGCGATAAATATAATGCTATTGAAAATGCAGTTACAAACATAATGTGATTGAAAATGCAGTCACAATCATAATTTAAATCTTGAGTGTTATCATTCATAGTTAAACTTGTCCTTTCCACGTGCTGCTGTCGTCGGAAAATTGATTGTATATTTACTTACAAGTAAAAGAGCAAATACGTAGTTATGACCCCATGGCTTTTGGCCGTAGCAGCCGTGTTGGACCTTTCATTTAGCTGCTGTGATTCAGGAATTTGGTAGCCTGCAAGCTTGCCTACTGTTTATTTGAGTGTTTTAAACATAAAATATTCGTACACGAAAGATTCGTGAATTTTGTATCATATCCAGAAAAAAAGAAGAGATAAAACCCAGATTAGAAATATGCCAATGAAATATCCCATCAAGTTCAAGCTTAACAGTTTGTTTCTGATCTCTGAGAATTCATCACATGAGTGATGTAATGCGAAGCAAAAATATACTTTATTTGCAGTATATACTCGATATTCTGATTATCAAGAAACTACGATATATCTCGAAGCAGACAATGAGAAATGAGAATAGTAGTACGAATTATGAAGGTGCAGCATCGCCAAACATCTGAATCTCACAAGAGAACACTACTAAAGGAATATATATATATATATGTTCTTTTACAATGATTTTCATGGTGCAAAAAAGGTGTTGGGCGACCTAAATTTCTGTTTCTGGCAAACAATATTTTCAGGGGTTGAAGATGAAGTTCCCACATCTGCATTTCCAACTCATGGGCTTGTAGTTGGAGTTATCAACTCCTCTGGTGTAAGCAGCATCAAAGTTCAACTTTGAAATATTCTTGTTCCCATTTCTGAGTTGTGGATCTATAGGTACTTGAATGGCTTCACAATGCCCGCATGAGCTGCATCTTCTCTTGCACCTTGGCGGCCTTGACCCTATCCGACCTCTCAATATTTCCTTCTCTTCATTTACTGCCTATCCAACGTAAGAAGAAGAAGAAGAAGAAACATTCTCAGCATTCATTGTACGATCATAGAGAAAACGAAACATAGCTCTTTTGTTTTGTTGGCGACTTACCTTTGAAAAGCTATCAGATTTGGGGTTTGGTCTACCTGAACAATTTGGATTCAAATATTATGAACAAAACTTATTGGTTGTGATGAATAAGATGCTTAACCACGTACCTTCAACTTGGTATCCAACTTGGATCGAGCTTAAAATCAAGAGAAATATTAGGAAAAAGCGGCAATGTCTTCGGCAAAGTATGAAACAGTGGCTACGAACCATTTTTGACGAAGAGCAAGATAGGCGTTTCAGCCAATGAATTGACAGCTTAATATCAGCGTTGTCTCACACTCGGTTGAAATGATGAAACGATAGCGGCAAACGACAGTAAAAATAGAATCCGTCAAGAAGATAATGGAATTCGAGGGGGCAAAATAACACAATAAAGAACACCAGAAACGCCACCGAGTTCCCACTACAGAATTTGCAAATTGTCTGGTCTTTTAAACAGAAGAAAAAGAGAAGAACATAATTTTAATATATATTCTCTCGTGTCAGGTATATCTCTTGTTTTCAATAATTATAGTTAAATCAGATGCGATGAGCTCATGTGTTGATGCACAATCCGATGTGATTTTCATTGATTGATCATCTTTTTTCATAGTCTTTTTCTGGCCCCATGGTAAATGATAGTACATGTGAATGTTATGGTTATTTTCCTTCCTTTTGTCTCTCAGCAACTTCTTGGATTTTTCTTTATTCTTTTGCTCTCTATATATACTAATTATGCATCATCAATTGTTATCTATACAAAAATATCATAATAAGTTCGAGTATGATGCGACAGATTTATAACATTTATGAATTAATCGGTAATCAACTCACAAATATATGCTTATTAGACAACAATTGATATAAAATTTGCTGCTCTATTGTTGGATTTAAAATATAGGACATTTTGGTGCTTACAAATATATCTAAGTTGAGTTATTCACGTACAAATCAAATTAAACAATCTCGTTAGTAAAAGAATTATTATTATTTTTTAAGATTTTAGTTTCGAGCACAATGAACGTCAGAGATGTGAGCCTTTAATATTAAATGATTGAAAACTATCTTTTAAAAAGAAAAAAAATGATTTATCCACTTGCTTCTAAATTTGGGATTTCTATTGCATATGTATGTAATTAATTATTTAACAGTTTACATATATAAAAAAGTATGAGTTTCTTTTCTTATTATGATATTGTTGTATAAATATATATTAGCAAATTTTATTTAAAATATTATAACATTATATGCTATATAAAGAATTTACAAATACGAAATTCACGTGTATACCGAAAAATCTAAAAAGATATCTAGACCCTAAGATTTCGGATTACACATTTCAAAGAAACAAGACAAATCTTTTGTAAGTTAAACTCATTCAGGTCGGACCAAGGACAGTAACTTCTGTAATTCCAACTCGAATTGTAATTTTATAATTTAAATATTTAAAACGTAACAAAATATAAATATTAAATATGGGTTTTCCTAAAATTCAAATAATAATAAATCAAACCCACAGAGCGAATCCAGCATAGCCAAAAGCAAGAAAAATAATTAGTTTCGTATATGTAGGCCATAAGAAAAACCTTGTAAAAGTTTATGTTGTGATCCATAAAACTTTCATTAATTGACTCATTATGGAAGCACTCACACAAAACCGTGTCACAGATAGAGCAAGTGACTTTACCACTAAATGTTGTTCTCCCTAGAGATTATCGATTAGAGCAATTATGTCTGTACTTGTGTGCATTATCAATGGGTTAAGAAAGTTTTGATTATATAACATCTTGTTGTTGCGGAAGACGGCTATCGGATAGAGCAAAATCGCAACTGATAATTTGAAAAAATAAAAATGAAGATAAAGAAGACACAAAATTTACGTGGAAAACCCCTAAATAATATATGGTAAAAACCACGGGCAACGGTAGAAGAATTTCACTATGAGAAAAATAAGAATTACAACCTCCCTCGATCTACCAAGGAGAAAACAATGATAATTCTCTCTTGATAAAAAGGAGAAAATAACTCTCAAGAAACTCTCTAAATTCTCTATAGTATTGGAAGAAAGCTAGAATGCTTTGGGATGATTTTGAAGCTAAATGAGCTAGGGTATTTATAGTTGAAGCTTAAGGACTAATTTGTAAGTACCCTAAATTTCAATGACTAATTGCATAGTTTTACCATCCAAAATATTCAACAATTTCAGCTTCCATTTGCACAACTTGCACCGAAAATATTGTTGTCAAAAAAACCCACCGAAAGTTGCCTACACTTGTTGACTTTTCAGCAATCTCCCACTTGAAGATTTGATTGGAACAATCATATCTTCACACCATTCTTTCTACCTTGTACCTTTATGCTGCTTACGTTTCTGACAGGCCACTGGAGGATCGACACCAGGTAAATTTATCAGTGTTGATTCGTCATGAAATTTGCTATGTTGTCTTTGGTATGGACCTTCTGCATATCTACCGTCTCTTCTTCTACCTTTTCCCGAATGAAATGGTACTGAACTCGTATGTGCTTTGTCCTTGAATGAAATGTTGGATTCCTTGCTAGATGCAAGGCGCTTTGACTGTCACAAAATATAGAGACATACTCTTGATTGTGCCCAAGCTCCTCCAATAACATCTTCAACCAAATTGCTTCTTTACTGGCTTGTGTAGTTGCTACATATTCTGCTTCTGTTGTGGATGTAGCCACAACTGACTGCAACTTAGAAACCCAGCTTACAGCTCCATCAACAACTTTGAACACATATCCTGTTGTAGATTTGCTTTTATCCAAATCCCCTGCATAGTCAGAATCTACATTCCCATTGATTAATAAGTTTGATCCTCCGTAACATAATGCAACATTTGAGGTCCCTTTGATGTATCTCAGGATCCTCTTTACTATATTCCAATGTCCTTTGCCTGGATTCGCCATGTACCGACTAACCACTCCCACTGCTTGTGCAATGTCTGGTCTTGTGCATATCATAGCGAACATTAAACTTCCCACTGCCGATGCATACGGTACTCGAGACATCTCCATCCTCTCTTCTTCACTGCTAGGACTCATACTGGAGGATAATTTGAAGTTAATAGGAAGAGGGGTAGAAATTAGCTTACAATCTTGCATGCTGAATCGTGACAAGATCTTCTTTAAGTAATTCTTTTGTGAAAGCCAAATCTTCCTATTACTTCTGTCTCGGTGAATTTGCATCCCTAGAATCTTGTTTGCTGATCCCAAGTCCTTCATTTCAAATTCCCTAGCCAGTTGTGCATTCAATTCGTCAATATGATCTTTGTTGGGTCCTGCAACCAACATGTCATCCACATACAACAACACTATAACAAAATCGTTATCACCAGACCTTTTGAAATAAGCACAAGGGTCTGCATTAAGTCTGTTATATCCAAGGCACATAATGAAGAAATCAAATCTCTTATACCAACACCTCGGCGCCTGCTTTAGACCGTACAAAGATTTGTTCAACCTGCAAACCAAGTTCTTCTTTTCTTTTTCTTCAAAACCTTCAGGCTGGAGCATGTAAATCTCTTCTTCAAGATTTCCATGAAGAAAAGCTGTTTTAACATCTAGCTGCTCTAGATGTAAGTTCAATGTAGCACACATTGCCAAAACTACTCGAACTGTTGTTAGTCGAACAACAGGAGAAAATATTTCATTGAAATCAATACCTTCTTTTTGAGCATATCCTTTGACCACCAGTCTTGCACGATACCTCTAAACTTGATCGTCACCATTTCGCTTGATTTTGAAGACCCATTTGTTACCAATTGGCTTCCTTCCTTGTGGTAGTGGCACAATGTCCCATGTATTATTTTTATGAAGGGCTTCGATTTCTTCTTGCATCGCCATCATCCACAGTGAAGCATCTGAGCTGTTTATTGCCTCCTGGTATGTTGATGGCTCACCGTCCTCTGTTAAAAGGCAGTATGTAATATTACATTCTATAACATAATCTGAGTGCCAATTGGGACGTCTTCTCACACGATCTGATTGACGAGTTTTTGGAGCTTCAGAACTCTCTGGTTCTTGTTCATCATGTGCTGGTTCTGCTTCAGAATAATCTCCTTGTTCAACCTCCTTTTCCACATGTATATGTGTAGTCTCTGACTTTTCAGCGCTATCATCATCTTCTTTTCTTTGTAGTTTATCTTCTACAAAGATAACATCCCTGCTGATGATCACTTTACGGGTAGTGGGATCCCACAAGCGATACCCCTTTACACCATCAGCATACCCCAAGAATTTGCATTTCCTGGATTTTGGATCTAGCTTTGAATTTCTTGGGAATTGTACATCACGTACACAATACTTCCAAATACTTGGAGGTTTGAATAATCAGCTGGTTTACCAGTCCACATCTCCATCGGTGTCTTCAGCTCTATTGCAGTTGATGGAGCTCGATTCACCAAATAACAAGCGGTATTGACTGCTTCTGCCCAGAATGATTTTTCTAGGTCTGCATCCCTCAACATTGCTCTTGTTCTTTCTAACAAGGTTCTGTTCATCCGCTCTGCCACTCCATTTTGTTGAGGAGTGTTTGCCACTGTGAACTGTCTTTTGATGCATTCTTTCCTGCAAAAGTCATCAAATTCTTCGCTTGTGTATTCTCCTCCATTATCTATTCTGAAACACTTGATCTTATTTCCAAAATCAAGTTCCACCCGCGCTTTGAAGTTTTTGAAAGTTGAAAACACATCTGACTTCTTCTTAATAGGGTACACCCAATATCTCCTAGAGTAGTCATCAATAAATGAGACAAAGTATTTTGCTCCGCCTAGGGATGTAACTGGTGCTTGCCATACGTCAGAGTGAACCAATTCTAGAACACTTTTACCTCTAGAATTTGACGTGTTGAATTTCAACCGGTGCTGCTTACTTGTTATGCAATGCTCACACAAGGTAAGTGATACCTTTATTAAGCCTGGAAGTAGGTTTTGCTCCACAAGGACTTTCATTCCTTGTTCTGACATGTGTCCAAGTTTCTGATGCCATAGCATTGCAGAATTTGAACTACATGAGGCAACAGAGGCATCTGCTTTTAGCAAAGTCTCTCCCTTCAGCATGTACAAGTTTGTAGCTATCTTTTCGCCTTTCAGTACCACAAGCGCTCCACGGAATACCTTTATGATTCCTTTTCGTGTTTCAATCTTGCTTGCATTATTATCCAACAATCCGTAGGATAATAAATTTTTCTTCAGGCCTTTCACGTGCCGCACATCTCAAACAACTTTAATTGTTCCATCATACATCTTCAATTTGATGGTTCCCACGCCTATGATCTCTAAGGCATGATCATTGCAACTATACACAGATCCTCCTGAGACAGGTTCATAATGATGGAATCATTCTCTTTTTGAGGTCATGTGATATGTTGCTCCCGAATCAATGAGCCATATATCTGTAAATCGTTTTCTTCCTTCCACGGTGGTTGACGCTTCACAGCATAGAGCATCTCCATCATCTGAAGTGTTTACGGTATTGCCTTGAGGATTGGAGTTTTTATTTAGACTCCAACAATCCTTCTTCAAGTGACCCTTCTTTCCACAGTTGTAACACTTTAAATTCTTCTTGCTTCTCGACTTCGATCTACCATGTTTGTGACTGCTGCTTTGGCCACGTTCTGTTGATCTCCCTCTCATCGTTGTCATCGTTGTCAACGCTTCTGCTTGTTGCAGATTTACTTGTCTGTCTTCCTTGTTATTGTGCCAATTTTCTTCTTGTAGAACAGCAGCTGCAACGTCATCGAAGACTAGACTGATGACATTATTGTTTGTCAAATTGATGATGAGTTGATCATACGAATCCGGTAGACTTTGAAGTAGAAGTTCAGCACGTTCTTGTTCTCCTATTTTACAGCTTAAGGATGTCAGCTGAGAAAATAAAGTGTTCAGTGTATTTAAGTACTCCATCACTGAAGTAGATTCTGGCATACGGAGAGTGTACAATTTTCTCTTAAGGAAAATTTTATTGTGCAGCGATGTGGCCTCGTACAGTTTGGTGAGATGATTCCATATCTCCTTAGTTGTCTTCTTCTCCTCGATACTTGACAATACTTTATCTGCTAATGCTAGATGAAAGTTTGCCATAGCATTTTCGTCAATTTCGATCCATTTGTTGTCGTTTTTGAAATCTACTGGCCTTTCGCTAATAGCTGCTAGACAACCGTCTTTCCTCAGGATGGCCTTCATCTTCAATTTCCACAATGAGAAATTTCTCCCATTGAACTTTTCAATATCAAATTTCGTTGTCATTGCTTCATTTACGGATAGCTCCCACTATTTCACTATCGTGAATAGTTCTCTAGAACCTTCAAAGAATGGGTAATAACTTCTTACTTTCTTATGTTGGAGGATTCACCTTTTGGTGGCAACCACAAAGACAATAATCAGACATTACATTCTCTAATCTGGCTCGAATACCAATTGTTGCGGAAGACGGCTATCGGATAGAGCAAAATCGCAACTGATAATTTGAGAAAATAAAAATGAAGATAAAGAAGACACAAAATTTACGTGGAAAACCCCTAAATAATATAGGGTAAAAACCACGGGCAACGGTAGAAGAATTTCACTATGAGAAAAATAGGAATTACAACCTCCCTCGATCTACCAAGGAGAAAACAATGATAATTCTCTCTTGATAAAAAGGAGAAAACAACTCTCAAGAAACTCTCTAAATTCTCTATAGTATTGGAAGAAAGCTAGAATGCTTTAGGATGATTTTGAAGCTAAATGAGCTAGGGTACTTATAGTTGAAGCTTAAGGACTAATTTGAAAGTACCCTAAATTTCAATGACTAATTGCATAGTTTTACCATCCAAAATATTCAACAATTTCAGCTTCCATTTGCACCACTTGCACCGAAAATATTGTTGTCAAAAAACCCCACCGAAAGTTGACTACACTTGTTGACTTTTCAGCACTTGTAACCATCTCAGACTATTAAATGAGAGATTAAAAATAAAAAAATGACAAAAATATATATAATTTTAACTATTAATTTACATTTATCCTAATCATAAATCGATATTAAGCTTTTCAATCTTACACTTATATATATGTAATTTCAATTTGATAATCATTATATTGACATAAATGATAAAATGAATCACAAAATATTATTAATAAAATAAACTAACTAAGACCACCCTTGTAATTCAAACGAGAATGGAAAGTCCAACAAAACATCGTAAAAAATGGCATAAAAATATTAATGTAAGAGACGAATTTTGATTACTTATCAATGGGTCTAAAATGATGGGATGTTAGGTTTTAAAATAATTTTAATATTGTAACTTAAATAAATTAAACTAGATTAGGAGAAACGTTTTTATAATTGATCTCTACAATATATAATTTAACTTAATCGATCAATAAATTAAATATAAATATTTATATAAGAAATAAACCAATCTTACTTTAACAAGTGTCCATATTTAAAAGTGTGAGCTCAATCAAAACTATCCAAGTCATGAAAGTTGAGCTCCACATGATGGGGGCCTCGAAATGGCTAATTTAGGAAAATATTGTAGAAAAATAGAAGAGTAAAAATACTTAAAATTATTTTAGAAATATGTCACAATTCATAGTGTTGGATAAAGTCATTTCCGAATAAATATAATTTTTTAAATTCATCATTTGCTAGAATTTTGAAAGAAACTGTCATAAAAATTATCAACAGCGATTTCACTAGAGTTGTACATATTACCGATAATTTAAAAATAAATCAGAGACAAAATTAAATAAATTAAAATAAAAAAATATTAAATTGGATAAAAGAATCAGAATGAAATAAATTAATTTTATAATATATATATATATACATTTATATGCAAAGGACATATGTTAACACAAACATAAACTAAATGATAATAGCATGCATATGAGAGCAACTCTAATAACTTAATAAAATAAGTTAAAAAACATATTTAAACATTTGAAAATCTAATATCCAACCATTTTGGATATTGTTTTTTTTTTTTGCAATCCTACATTAATTGCATATTTACTTTTTTTAAAATATTTAAATATAGTATTTATAGTTTAGTTTCATGGAGTGATTAGAGTTATGACCCTCGCACATCGTCGTTTGACTCATGTTCGTATTCATGTACAGGTGTATTTTTTTTAATTGAAAGGGAAACATGTTACATCAAGATCTTATATATGGGGGACCTTGAGAGTCTCTAGATAGAAGACTTAAAATGGCCACAGGAGGATTACTAAAGAGCGTAAGTTCATTATCATCGGCATGTCGGATTTTGGAAAGAGCATCGGCAACCTTATTAGCTTGACGTGGGATCCATTCAACTCTTGTTGTCCAATGCTGCCTACGTAATCTGCCAATAGACCGAATCAAGGAGCTATGCTCGACTGAAGTGGAATCATCATTGATGAGGCGAACCGCCATAAGACAATCAGATTGGAGAAGAACGCATCTAAATCCATGGTCCCATGCAAGTTTCAGGCCAATAAGCATACCCCAGAGCTCGGTTTGGAGGGGGGAGCAGTAACCAGTAGAACGATTGTATCCGAGAATCCAGGACCCATCACAGGCACGAATAACACCCCCTGCAGAGCTCCGCTTCAGGCCACCGAAGACAGCACCATCAGAGTTTAAACAGACCCAACCAGGTGGCGGCTTCATCCATTGAATAGTTATTATCTAGTTTTTTAAATTATTCAATTCAATTCTTATCTAATTTGTTCCAAAATCATCAGTAGCTTCTACCGACTCAGGGACGGAGCTCCCTTAGGTTTCATGGGAGTCCCGACACATGTTAAAATTTATATATTCGATATAATTTTAGTTTAATGATATTTTGGTTCAAGTAAAAATATATAAATATTTATTAAATATTTAATCAAGTAGGGGTCCAACTAAAAAATGATAAGTATGTGTTCTCAAATTTTTGGTTTAATTACAATTTAAGTCATTGTAAGTTTAAATATTAGACAAATTAGAAGTTGTCTTTTGAGTTTTTTATAATTTATGGTGAATACAAAGTAATATATGTACAAATATTTTTAACTATTTGACAATGAATGTTTGTACCCCTACATACATGCTTGAACTCGGGACCTCAAGGATAACATCAACCCTTAATCACTAAGGTCATTAATCACTAACGTCGTTAATCATTAACGTCATTAATCACTAAAGTTGTTTGTTTCATGCTAAATTTTGAGTTTAAATACCTAATAAGTCTTTATATTTTTCTTAAATAGTCTAATATTTCGACCCCTGTCAATATTTAATTTTGGTTTCGTCCCTGTAACTGACATAATTTTTTAAACCCTAACAAAACACGATTTTAAGAAAATCGTATTTATTTGAAAACAATTTTATCGAACACTGCAAACTTTAATCTATCCCCCTAAATAATTTTTATGCATCTATATTTTTGTATTTTTCTCTAATTTTTTCACAATATTTATCTAAAGAATCCCCGAAATAATAATAATAATAAAGAAAACCAGTAGCTAGCTAGAAGAGTAAGTTATGAGTAAGATGAGATTCCAAAAGGCAAAATAAAAGCAGTTGGAGTTGTAGGCCTAATGTCGGCTTTGGCATTAGCTGGATCGCAAGCAAAACTGGTGATGAAGACACTTTGCAATTGAACGCAGCACTCTACACAATGGACCCCTCGCTCTTTAATATATATACACTTACCCATTTCATCTCTAAATCAAACTCCATAATACTAATATGACCTTAAATAATGCTGTTCCTTTGCTTTTCTTTTGTATCCTTGCAGTTTCTCTCTCATCATCGTCGGTTCAGGGACGGCCAGCCTCTTTTCTCGATGATTTTAGAATCACCTGGTCGTATTCCCATATTAAGCAAAGCGATGGAGGGAGGGCCATCCAACTTATTCTAGACCGAAATTCAGGTCTACATTTTTCGTGGGGGTCACTTTATTATTTTAACCAAAACTCGTTTAATTATTGGATAATCATGATTAAACTAATCATTTGTTCTTCAAATGTTTCTTTTTATCAGGCTGTGGATTTGCTTCCAAAAGTAAGTATTTGTTCGGACGTGTCAGCATGAAGATCAAGCTCGTTGCTGGCGATTCCGCCGGAACAGTTGCCGCCTTTTACGTAATGTTCAATACCGAAAACAAATGGTATTCATTTTCTTTTCCTTCGTCTTAATTGGTTTACATTTGAATTCTGGGAGTAGATGAATTCGGATACGAATACTGTAAGAGACGAGTTAGATTTCGAGTTCTTGGGAAACCGAACCGGCCAGCCGTATACTGTCCAAACCAACATCTACGCTCATGGAAAGGGTGACAGGGAACAAAGGGTTAACCTTTGGTTCGATCCTGCAGCAGATTTCCATACGTACTCAATTATGTGGAACCATCACCATATTGTGTAAGTTGTAAATTGCCGACACTAGTATGGTAAACACAAGTATTAGTTGGGGTCACTTCAATTAATGAAATACAAGTATTAGTTGAGCAATGATTATTATGTTATTAACGTTAATAGGTTTGGGTTGTTGGGTGGGTGCTTTTGACACAGGTTCTACGTTGATGAAGTGCCCATCAGAGTTTACAAGAACAATGAAGCTAAAAATATTCCATATCCAAAGCTTCAGCCAATGGTAGTGTATTCGACGCTTTGGGAAGCTGATGATTGGGCAACGAGGGGAGGACTGGAGAAAATCGATTGGAGCAAAGCTCCTTTCTTGGCTTATTACAAGGACTTCGACATCGAAGGTTGTGCTGTCCCAGGGCCAGCAAGTTGTGCCTCGAACCCTAGGAACTGGTGGGAGGGCACTGCTTATCAAGCCCTAACTGCTATGGAAGCTAGAAGATACAGGTGGGTTCGTTTGAACCACATGATATATGATTACTGCACCGACAAGTCCCGGTACCCAGTTCCTCCGCCGGAGTGCATAGCCGGCATCTGAAATCCTATCCAAATCAACTGTCGTGAAGAAACAAATGTACAGTCTTCCAGTTCATTTTAAACAATTCACCGTCGAGCAAGTCGCTCTTGATTAAAAAATGAGAGCTCAAATTAAAAGACAAAATCAGTGGAAATAAAAGGTTAAAGCATATGGTTTAAAGAAGAAGAAGAAGAAGAATCTCAGCTTCCAGAATTGGAAACAAATCCCCTGTGAGATGATATATCCTCTATCCCATCCTCAATACTGATGATGTCTCTTCAATGGTTGTTGACAGCGCCTCTCCTCATTTGCTTGTTTTCTCAATCTTCGTTTCCTCTAAAACTCACTAACCAATTCTGAAATTCATAAACACAAAATTACAAACACTCTCTCTTAAAAATATTCATAGTGCTCATATGGTAATACCGACGAGTTTGATGTAATCTCTTCCTTTTTGGCCATTCAATCAACAAAGAGGTGTTTGATGTGAGCAGGTAACATCCACATATGCATAAACAACATGGGCGGGACCAACAATATACGTAACCACTGCTTTTAGGTGTATTTAATTACAGCCCCGACAGGCATAATCATGATAAGACCCCTATCCACATTGCCTTGGTGAAGCCTTTTAAAACTATAAAGCAGGGACCATTCTGTGAAGCAGCAGCAAATATCACATGCAACTCGAAAAAAATATAATAATTGTCAAGCTTGGACCAAGAGAGCTCTTTCAAACAGTCAATATGCATGAAAAGAGCGTAAAAATGAATGAAATTGGAACCAATGGATCTACTATACGTTCCAGGAATGAATGGAAGCACTTTTGAGCAAAAGTGAATAGGAGCTAAGATAAGTTAATGAAGGGAAAGCCAAAAATCATTGTTGGTCACAAATCACTGTAAATAAAACATGGAGTACACACAAGTGGGGGATAACCCTACATTAATTGGATGCTGTCACTGTGTTAGTCGTTATCTCAATTCTTTTGATTTCGGGAGAAGGTTACACCTTTTTATTGCAGAAGCTTGCTGAAGATTACATTACACCAACTTTCAAGTAGGTCCCTTGTGATCAGAGGCAATGCTAGGTTCGCAAAAGAATAGGTTAGTTGAAGCGGGTCTGGCCTCCACTAAGTGTAGTAGATAAGGACATGAATAAGGATCGAGTGGCCCGAGCTTGTTTGCAAGATCGGACAAATAGGTCTGGTCTAGTTCGATGTCATATTACATGGCTGAGATGCCTACTTTGAATCAAAATCCCAAAGGGAAAACTCCAAATCGAGCACTATTGAATAGTAAAATGAGGCAGGGATCCAAGAATTTCTCTGGAGCAAAATTAATGGGATTGCATGCCATTCAGAAATGTTGAAACAAATACCACCTCAAACTGATGCCCGAGATTATAGTTGCTAACGTACAGTATACCAACCCTATAATATATGTTATATACTCATCAGCCATTCGGCAGCCACCTAACATGTATCAGGTGGGGTGTGTTGGTGACGACCAGCGTTTGTAGCGATCGGCACTGTTAGATGTTAGATTTTAGGGTAAACTACATGATTGATCATTTTTAACCATCCAGCTCAGTTGGTAGAGCACAAGGTTCTTAACCTTAAGGTCGTGGGATCGAGTCCCACGGAGGGCATTTCATAATTCGGAGGTCTCTTACGGAAGCTGCTCTCAACCTGGTGTTGGGGGTAGCCTACTATCTTACCTCCCCCTTACCCCATATATATGGGAAAAAGGGACAGCCATTTACATGATTGATCATTTTTGTTAAAATTTTGTACACTTTTCCTCATTGAATTCAAAAAACATAATATTTAGTCACTTTCGTTTTTATTTAATTAAAATGTGTTCATTGAGAGTTAGCTACCATTATACCTTCAAGGTATGCGATATAGTGATTTTATAAAATTAAAAAGGATAAACTACATAAATGGTCACTAATGTTTGAGTAAATTTTGTTTTTCCCATTGAAGTATCAAAAACATCAAATAGGTCACTAAAACATCAAATAGGTCCTTGAACAATGATTTTATATTTAATTTATTCTAAAAGATTTCTAACTTTTTCAATGACTTATTTGATGTTTTAGCGATCAATTTGTTACTTTTCAAATTTCAGTGGGGAAAATATAAACTTACTCAAATATTAGTGGTCATTTGTGTAGTTTATAATTTTTAATTTTATAAATTAATTGTGCCAAATCAACGACCCGTTAAAGGTTTAATGACAGTTAACCTTCAGTTATCACATCTTAATTAAATAAAAATGAAAGTAACTAAATATTATGTTATTTAAATTTATTGAGCAAAAATATACAAAACTTTAATGAAATTGATTAATCATGTAGTGTGCATGTACAATTTTTTTTAATAGATAAGAGCAAAACTTAAGAAAAGTAGCCTTTTGAGTTTTTGTCTTTCTCTGTCAATTCAGAACTCGTTCATTTGTATTCCAAACTATTATAACTTTCCAATTTGAGATATTTAATAAAGATTAGTTTTTTTGTGTTTTTTTTTCATATTTATTAAACTTTATTGTGTATAAAAATTGTTTAAAAAGTCTATTTCGTCTATCTCGTAAAGTGTGGATTATGGAGCCATGGCCCAATATCTATGGATGTAAAATTTGAGGAAACCACAATGAGGTCTCTGTTGAGTGAATCTGGCCCGTTTGGGAGGAAAGAAATGACCTTTCCCAAATATTTCAAAGTATTACTTTTGCTGACCAAAAAAAATGTATATTTATTACTTTTTTTGCTTCTTCTGAAGACCAAGGTTTTTTTTCCCCTTCTCAAATCTAACCCCTGATTGCATCTACATTTGGGTAAAAAGGTTTGAAGAATTGAATAGTCAAACAAAAAGTTTGTTGGTCCAATCCACACCCAAATAATTTCAATTATAATAAAGTCGGTTTCTCATCATACTACAGGTGAAATGTGATGAATGACATTTCAGAGTCAATTAAATTGGTTTTACATTTTTCGAGATTTGATCATTAAAAGAAAGAAACAAAGGAAAATGATGATGAAGTTCACTTGCACGGTGGTGGTGTAATACCGGTTCTGATAAATCTAAATCATCTAATTATTTTGGTGTTTTGAATTGTCTCATCGTGTTTACTGATCTTAGTCATTTCACTTTCAATTTTTTAAAATAAAAATTATGGGTGGGACCCATTAAAAGGTGTGAATTCCTGATTAGATTAACGTAACCATAAAAGGACTTGACCTCATGTTTGACAAACAGCCTTATCAAGTTCTCATAATATCCTGTTTCGGTAAACTCCACCACCAATGGTCACTAATTTCATCCTTTAAAACCCAAACTTCTCTTTTTTACTAGTTTAAATTGAAAACCTTAACCCTTAAACCCTTCAGCGATATCGTCCGATGACGACTTTGATTACAACCATCCCGATTTCTTTTACAATGTTGAACATCTTGCTTATGCCAACAAAGCTCCCGAAATTGAATATAACACTTATGCTAAACCGAAGTCTGACATGATTGTTTCAAACATACACTTGCTTATGGTGTTGGATTTTATTAGTATGGAGCTCAAAATGAGTCTATTATAGAAGGAAGCGTGAATATGAGCAATTTGAATCAGCTATGGATTAAAGTCGGAGTGCAGACGGTCAAATCTAAATTTGAAAATCTGATTATGGTCGAAAACATGGATTCGAGTAGCATACTTGAGAGTTTAAATCCATGTATTATCAGAGACTAACGTATGAGCATTCACATCAATCATATTACGGATATTTGGTTATAGATAGAGACCCGAATTTGAACAGTCTCTATTGCCTGAATTTGAATACGGATATGGTGAGAGACTTGAATATAGTCAGCAAACGACGATGTTTATGGTTTTGAAAAACGACGACATCGAGAGAGATATAAAGATGGGGTTTGCAAGAAAAATGATTTTCTCAGAGAACACGAGAGAGAAATAACTCGGGTTTCTAAAATCAAAGGTTTGAATTTTGAAGATTTAAATTACCAAATTGTTGTTTTAGCAATAATTTAGGGTCGAATTAGATGTTAACTTTTTTATTAATGTGTTAGGTCATTAATTTAATGGATGTTAACAATGAAGTGGTCATTTTTGTTATAAATTGATAACATTAGTAATGATCACGTAATTTTCCAAACTTTCAATGGTGAAAATGAAACTACCCTAACACTAATGACGGTGTAGTATTCCCCTGATGTTTACAACTTTACACTTTCGTTTTCCGTTTAAATTTGTTTATAATGATGAGATTGGTGTGCTTTCGTTATAATCGCAGTTGAAGCGACATATATGAATGATGGAAATTTGTTAAAACAGTGAAATAAGCATCATAATTCCGTGTTGTAATCGCTTCTTTTGTTTTGTTTGTGTGTGGGCAAGGCGAGATTTGGGGCCGTCTAAATGCCATTCGCATGAATGATTTGGTTTTACTTTAGGATGATGGCATTGATAATATATGAAAACACGGCAACCCCACGCACGGTTTCCCCGTCATGGGTTTGATGGGGTCAAGCTTGTTGAAACATAACTTACAAGGGCCCCCGTTTTCTTGACTTGTTTTGGAATACCACTCACATGCAATGCTTCGTTTTCTTCATTTTTGGCCTAATCATTCCCTACTTTTTCCATTCTTAATGCACGAAAAACAAACCGGGTTAGGTTTCAATGATTTTGATTGAAGTTCCTCTGGTTCACTTCTTTTACGGATTATGTGGAATATGGATTTTTCATGGTTTAAATAAATACATGGAAATCAACCTTGTCTTTCTGAAAAAACATGTTGACAAATGTTGTAGAATTGTCTACACGGATGGTATTTTCAGAACCACCACAGCCTTTCAATCTGTAATAATCTTCTGCTGATTTCATGTATATATTAGATATTGATGGAGCAAATTACTAAAGCAAATCAGCCAAAAAGACATGTCCCAATGACTTTAAGCCACCTCAAAAGACATCAACATTCAACAAGCTTGAATTTTTCACAAAATGTGTTATGGTTAATTTATTTTTAATATAAAC